TTGGAATTTCTTAATTAACGGAACTCTATTATGATGGTTATCGTCGGTAATTATTCGAAAAAAAAAAAACAGTTACCGGTTCAAAGACGCTTCAAGTACCTTGGTAGTGAATTATTTCATACGTCTGACAGAGGCTGCAAATATGATGAGTATGTTCCATGATTTCTTCGATTTTTTATTAAACGCTATTGTTTTTAAAGGCTGATTTATATTTAGAAATTAATAAAGAAAAAAAAATTATTGGGTTCAAATTCACGTGAAATTTTAAAATTAACAAAATTAAAAATAGTAAATTTAGTTCTGATGAAATTTGGTGAAATTATACCTTTGTATGTCTTAAATAATCACTTTTTTTTATAAAAAATCCAAAAGATTTTGAGATATTAATAATTTTCGATTTAAAACACTTTTTTAAGAAATTTTATGGTGAAAAATTGTCATACAAAGTTCTTCAGGTGCTCATTTTTTCGTTTTGACATGTAGTTTTTGATAAAATAAAAAAATGACAATAGCAAGAATAAATTATTCTTTAATTATTGATATTTGTTTCAATTGTATGGAAAGAAATATAAAACAAACTGTTTTTTATTTTTTGACCAAAATTCTTATTTTTTTTATATAGTATTGTTACATTTAAGTCGAATGGTTAAGATTCAAACAAATATTTTTTTTTTTTGTAAAATCGATTACCTAATGAACCTTTTTAACACGCTTTTATTAGCTTCACCTGTATGTATGTTTGTAACTCTCCTTTGGACTAAAAGCAAGTGGCTTATTACTGTCAGTATATCCCACTACCTCAAGTTCGTTCATTGGCCGAGCGGTCTAAGGCGCAGGTCTGTCGATCGCCAGACTCACCGATCGTGGGTTCTAATCCCGTCCACGGCTGAAAAAAATAATTGTTTTTTTTTTTCTCAGCAATTTTTTTAATAATTAATCGAACTAAAAAATAAATATAGTTTAAAAAAAAAAAAACTAAAAAACACGCTTTTAGAGCATATAAAACTAAAAAGTTAAAAATAATTCTTCAAATAAGCTTAAAACAATAATAAATGAAAATACTAGTATTATTGTAGTAGTACGACTACTGGGGAAGATATTTTTAAGGGAATTGAAAAAGCCAATAATAAAAAGAATCTTCGATGGAAAAACTTGAACTCTATTACAACTGATGGAGGTAAAAATATGTGTGGTAAAAATAAAGGAGTGGTTGCACTTGTGTCAATGGCTGTAGAAAATTAGTCTTACATTGTATCATTCATCAACAGTCCTCGTACGGAAAATATTTGGATATGTCTGAAGTTCTGAAACCAGTCATATCAGTTGTTAATATCATCAGATCCACTGGGCTGAATCACCGAGAATTCCGCGAGTATATTGAAGAGATTGGAGAAAATGACTTACCATATCATACTAACGTACGCTGGCTTAGTTGCTGAAAAGTCCTTCAGCGCTTTTTTGGACATCGAGCAGTGATTGATTTTTTTTTTTTTTTTGAATGAAAAGCATTGCCCTCTACCGAATTACAAAATAGCGAATGGCTGTGAAAGTTAGCATTCTATGTCGATTTGACAAAACTATTGAACGAACTGAATTTGAGATTACAAGGAGAAAAACTGCTTCTCCCTGATTTATATACTAATATCAAATCGTTCTGGTAGAAAATACTGTTTCAATCACAATTACGTAAAAAATATTTCACACATTTTAAAACGTGAAATATTCAGCCACACTACTGAGATTGAGTTTTCCGTTGATTTTGCAATCGAAGCCTTTAGTGCTTTGAAGATAAATTTTGATACTCGTTTCTAAGACTTTGATGTCATTGCGAATGAAATTTAGATTTTTCAAAATCCTTTTGATACTGACAATGAAACCCTAGCACCGGAACTTCAAATCGAAATGATTGATTTACAGTGCAGTGATATAAAGAACACATATCAAAACTCATCTTTGTTGGAATTTTTTAAGTCTTTCACTGGTACAATTAGATAATTTACATAAATTTGCTTGTGGACTGTTTTCTGTTTTTAGTACTACTTGTGTGAGAAAACATTCTCCAAAATGAAGTACACAAAGAATGTTTACAGATCTAAGTTAACTGATTAGCATCTTAAATCTCTTTTAATAATTGGTACAAGTAAAATTGGCCCACAACTACAAACTATTGTCAGTGGAAAATCACAATTACATAAATCTCTTTAGGATTTTTTACAAGTTTTCCATTTGCGTTAATTTAGCTTTTCCGTTCATAAGGGATTTTCAGGATAAAAATATCGAGAGTTATCATTTTGTTTTTTCTTTGTCCAACTTATCACAGCTGGCAGGCCGGCGGGCTGTAGTTTGGAGACCTCTGGTTTAAACAATTGATGTTGAAATCTCAACCATGATCTTTATGAATGACGCCATTTTGTGTCTATGGTAAAATATAAACCATAATACAAAAATTTGATAGGTCGATTGAAAATGGTGTTCACAAATGTGGATACGGTGACTGAACGGGTTAAATTATATCAATTTTTATGGAATAATTCATTGTTGCTACTGTCATTTTTTATTTTTATCCATTTTTGAGCATGTTCCTTAATCGTGACTAATTTTTTTTATTTTATCAAAAACTACATGTCAAAACGAAAAACATGTGTACTTGAAGAACTTTGTACGATAATTTTTCACCATAGAATTTATAAAAAAAAAATGTTTTTTGGATCTAAAAAATTAATACATATCTCGAAAACTTTTAGATTAAAAAAAATTGTGCTTGATTAAAACATGCAAAGGTATAATTTCATCAATTTTCAACAAAATTAAATTATTTTTGTAAAAATAAAAAATATAAAAATCGAACGAACTTTTGTATTTTTATTGAAAATTTTGAGGTTATGTTAAAAAGTGACCCCTACAAAAGCTGTAGATTGAGTCAACTTTCATCGGAAATCGCGATAATACTATTTTTTACCCCTTTTCAACCCCCTAAAACTTCAATCCCCCAGATTGCAATTTTTTTATTTATCATAAGCCACTTTACCATTTCCAACTTATCAAAGTCCAGTTAACATTTTTTTTTCTCAAAGTTTAATTTGATTGGACTATTTTATAACTTCTTCTTGCTCGACACTAAAATATCTTAGTGAGAACATAGACACAACGTTGTCTAAAGTAGTTGGTTATTGAAGCAAAGAATTGTGCGTTCAAGTATCGATAGCTACAAATATTTTTTTTTTATTTTTTCTTCATTATATATGTTTAATTTTTTATCATTCATATTTTGTCTTATCGTCGATAAGATAAATTAGTTTCTTATTTTTTTCTTCATTACATTATTTATGATTTTTTATGTAAATTTTCGGTTACTTTTTAGTGCTAATTTTTAATTAATGGTTTGTTTACAGACTTTATTTCTGCTAAAGGTACTAAATAAAAATGACGAATATGTGTCTTAATCATAAAAATAGTTTAAAAGGTACTTTTTTTGTTCATTAAATATATCAATGAAGATATTCTAGTTGTTACATATTTTTTTACTCAACTTATCACAAATGGTTAGCAAGGTATACCAATTTTGTCTAACAAAGATATTCTTTAGTCTTATTCTCGGAATCACCGAAAAGTGAGCCAATGTTTAAGAATGTATATCAAAAAAATATTGTTTTTTTTTTAAACACATTCAATCTAAATACTTTATAAATTTCGTGATATTCGTTATCAAAAAAATTACTGGTTTCATAAACAAAACACTTGTCACGGAAATATTTTGTTTGAGAGAAGTGTAACGTGTAAAAAATGTAACGAATTTTTTCTACAACATACTAATACTTCTGCAGTTTTCTTGAATTCCTTGTAACTTCGATTTGGTCTGGGATAATTTCATTATATTAAAGGCCATGATGCAGAAAATACATACACAACTTTTTTTTAAATAAATAATTTCACTGATTTGACATTTAATAGTTGAAGTCCTTATTTATCTAATACTGAACTTTTAACTATACCTTACCTTGCAAATTTTTGAGAATTTTTTTTTTAAATGTGAGTATTTGTACAGTGCCTCATGAAAAAGTAAGTCCTCAACAACAATTCTCGAATTATACTATTATTTATTGATTAGATGGAGTAGAAAAAAACTAAAAATAAGGTTTTTGAAATATTTAGATTTTGTTTTATACAATAAAATATATATAGTAAACCGTGGAACTTATTGAGAAATTAATATTAAAAAATCACAAAAAATTTTCAAGTAACCTAGTTGAAAATTTTTTGTGATTTTTTAATAATAATTTCTCAATAAATTACACGGTAACCTATATATTTTATTGTAAAAAACAAAACTAAATATTTCAAAAACCTTATTTTTAGTTTTTTTCTACTCCATCTAATCAATAAATAATAGTAAAATTAATTATAATTCGAAAATTGTTGTTGAAGTCTTACTTTCTCATAAGACACTGTACAAACACACATTTTTAAAAAAAAAAAATTTGCACGGTAAGGTATAGTTAAAAGTTCACTATTAGATAAATAAGGACATCTACTATTAGAAAAAAATAAATTTTAGTCATAATCTAATATTTTTTATTTAACATTGGTGGCGAAAGGACCTCCTTAATACTTAACACCCTATAAATAGACATTCTGGCGGAATATTTGAATACTCTTTAAAACTGAGAGCTCTAGTCAAGCCTTAAAATTATCTTCGACGTAATATTATAAATCAGCCTTTAAAAATTACCCTGTATATTATTCGATCAACTTTTGAGCCTATATTGCATGCTAAAATTGTAATATTAAAACTCAAAAAGAGCATTTGGCTCTAACGTACCCCTTACATAAATACAAATAGTACCTTAAAAAATGGTTTCATTTAGAAAGTGTCTAAATGTCCGTTAACAATTATTATTTTCTTTAGCCTCTATTTTAACTAAAGAGTGTTGTGAAATGGTACTAATCAAGAAAACATCTTTAGCATTTTTTTAAAACTTTTTTTTTTAATAATTTCATAGGTAGCTCGTAAATTGGCCATGGTTGAAGCTGATTTGGAACGTGCTGAAGAACGTGCCGAAACTGGTGAATCGTAGGTTTCAGTTTTGTACTGAGTGTTGTGTGTAATTGTGGCATGATTTTTGCGTTTTATTTTTTTTTTACATACAATTTTTTTCAGCGAAAAATGGCTTATTTTTTACAAATTATTTCTACAGAGCAGTTGCAGATATTTGTTTTACATCGTTTTTCATTTTATTCTTTTTATTATTACTAAACATAAATTGTGTTTTACTAGTATGGGTATGTCACAAAATAAATTTGTAATGGTTTACTTTAGCTATAGCATCATAAATTGGCCAAAGTGAAAGTCTCAGGGTTGACCTTACCCAAAATATCAGTATTTCAGGCTATCAAATTATATTTTTACCCCCAAAAATCTATTTATTCAACTGACATACCGATACTTATTACGTATTCATTCTAACTGTAACTAAGTACTTAAAGTACTTTAAACAAGTACTAAGTATTTTGTCGTTATTTGCTTTGCTGCATGATTGCGAATGTTGACAGGCCGCCCGAAAATTGGTACTCATGGAACAGGATCTCGAGCGGGCAGAAGAGAGGGCAGATCAAAGCGAAAGGTAAAATGCTTTAGGCTTTTCTTCTCTCTGTAGCAATATTACAAATTGAGTATGTTTTTCCCTAAAACTACGGATTTTTATATATTTGACAACATCGAAAAACGCGAAAATAGAAGGATTACGTTTAAATTATATGCTTCGAAATTAAAATTCACATTTTATTACTTGATTTACTAAATTTAATTTAAAATCTACTAATAAATGTAGATTAACGAATTAATATTCCTAATATCAAATTCGGACATTGTTGCTAGACTTGGAAAAAATTCTGTAAATTTCGGGAAAATATTGTATAATAACTATTATCATTATGAAAGTAACTGCAATTTGTAATATTTATTTATAGATTTTTAGAGTGTTTAGAAGAAATTTTATAATATCAATATATCTCACAGCTTAGATCAATACGCTCAGGTTTTTATCTTAATTGCATTTATCATGAACGTGACGTAGAGATGATAATTGGTTTATAATACAATTTTAATTTTATTTTTATATCAAAAAGAGTTTTAGTTTTATTAAATTCAAAATAATTTATGCTGTTGATCTAATTTGTCTATTAAACTGATTCCAAAATAAATTTAGAAGAAACCACTAACAAATTATCAATTGAAAAATACTCTTATTTGCCTTTAAAGGTTTCAATGTCTTCAATAAAATAAAAAAAAATACTTATTTAATCTGATTTAATAGTTAGTGATTAACAAATATTTCTATTTTGGGGTTAGTTTAAAAAGCTTATAAAAAAATGATGAGAATAAAAATTTTAAGGTTTTCTTTCTTTATTCCTTTAGCAAAATCGTAGAACTTGAAGAAGAACTTCGCGTCGTAGGTAACAACTTAAAATCTCTTGAAGTATCAGAAGAAAAGGTAAGAATCTTGTTTTTATTTTTAATTTTTTTATCAAAAAATCGTTTCAGAAGCATTGAAGCTCTGTTAAATTTTATTGGATCTTGAGAATGTGATCTGACTGAATGACATGAACTTCAAATTACAGTATAAACGCCTGCAAACCACAAATAATTACAAAAAATGTACGGTTTGCATATGTGGATCCACTTTGTATATAGTCTTTGCATTAAAAGTATTCTCAATTTACTCCCAAGTTTTTCGAGTTATGTCTCTTTTTTTCTTCAATTGTTATCAGTAATTTGTTATCTGCTTGTGTTACATGGATACAGTTCATTAAACTGTCAGTTTTGTCGTTTATTTGCCTATGTTTCAGAAAATGTCTATTCAACTCTTTAAACTCTTCCTATAATTAAGATATTCATATCGCATCTTCGATAAAAGAGATAACTTGAACAAAGTAAATTACTAAATGTCACACTAATTGAGAACACTGAAGAGAAAACTGGCATCTGTGATATCTGCCATCTAATAGCAAATATGTGGAATTACAAATATAACTCTGTTTGAGATGATGCACCGTTTAATTTTGAGCATTTTATCTATTTACCTAACTCAAAACCCAAGTTTTTCAAGTTATAACTCTTATTTGATCGAATGTGCGATATATTGTTTCTTGGTCGTTAAATGTGATTCCCAAGGATTTATAACTAATTGTTCGATGTTATCTGCTAATGCGATAACTAAGAAGACATTGTGTTGAAAGAATCAGATGGCCCAAAGGCCTATTGATCTTCATGATAGTTAGGCGTGATACTAAAACTGCGGAAATTTGAGAAATTGAGTATTGTTTTTCATATATTCCAAGTTTATGATAATTAATCTCACTTATCACCAAATTTCTTCAGCAGGCAGTGTCCCGTTAGTAATCCTACAATGGTGGATATATAGGGCCTTTTGAGCTGTAGTACCTCAACAGTTAAGCGTGGGCTTGGTCTCCTTAGCAAGAGTTTACTGATTTTGTGTCATCATATCTGTTGCCAGTGAGTTTGGTATAAACAAGAAGACTAAAAGATTCAATTTGATACCCAACGGCCAATTGATCTTCTTGTTACTTAGGCGTAGTGCCGAAACTGGGAAATTGAGTACTATTCTTAATTTTCGAAGTTGATGATAATTAGTTTCACTTCTTCCCACCAAATTGTTCGAAGATGCTTCAACAAGTAGTGCCGGGAGGAAATAGCCGATTGTACAGGGCATGATCTGTCGATTTGCTATTTGGTAGACATATTGGTAGAAGTTTAACAGGCTTTTATTCTTTAAGAGGAGCATAGTACCTTATTCTCGAAAAAACAGAAAAACTTGAAATAGGATAAATTTGGACGTTTTAATTTACAATTATTGGGCGTATACATTTAATCAAAAATGGTCTCGCCAAATTTCAACATTGGCTTATATTGCAGACGTAAAACCAAATATTTAAAAAATTCCTACAACACAAATAGAAATTAAGAGCTGAAAATCAGCAGAGCTATTCACCCCTTTTATTAGTGACGACGGCTGGTTCTATGGGTTTTAAAAACATTTTATTTTTAATACGATTTCCATGGTCTTATTTTACTATAATTAAAATACAAACCAAATCGTTTAAAATCTTATTAAAAATAAAGTGTTTTCAAAACTTATACACCCAACTCTCACTAATAAAAAGGTTAACATTTCTGCTCAATTTCAGCTCTTAATTTCTATTTGACTAGTTGCAGGATTTTTTAAAATAATTTTTAATTTTACGTCCGCAATATAAGAGGCCAATCTTGAAATTTGGCGACTCTTTTTGATTGAATGTATACGCCCAATCACTGTAAATTAAAACGTCCAATTTATCCTATTTGAAGCTATTCTTGTTCTTTGGAGAATAAGGTAAATGTTACTTTTAATATTCCTATCTAGGATTATCTCTAGTGTTTTCAAAAAGAAGGATGTTGAGCAAATTAGACGATATGGCATTAGGTAATCGTAGTGCCGTCGGCCAATCATGGTGTTGTCGCATCGCGGGCTGTACTAGTCTCGATCGCATCGCAGTTTCCCGAGATCTTTGAAGAAGATAGGAGAATGCGTTGCTAGCGAGCACAGCTCGAGAACGCCTAGTGGAAATGCATTCGTTATAAAATATGGGAAAGAACTTCACCGCGTGCGCTCCAGACCAACACATACCGCGGATGCGACAGAACCGCGATTTCTATATTGATAGTAATGTGTTGTATTTTCATTGATTTAATATATCATTCGAATACCTAGTATGTTTTTTTTAATTAATCTGCATCATGAAGTCAGATCTTATTCTCCACAAGACACGCAATATTATATTATTTTACACCTAGAATGTTGGGTCTACAGATGCCAACGTTTGATGTTTTGTATAATATTGGAAGATTTTCTAATTTATATGGAATAATCCAGCGCTCACCATTTCAGGAATTGAAAATGAGTAGTCTTCAGAACTATTTCATCAAACTCCATTGTGAGAAATTTTCTGAAATTTTAAAAATGACTTCATATTTTTCGTAACTATTTGTTAGTACTTATTAGTTGCACAAATTTAGTTTCAGTCATAGTGTTGAACGTTGTCGACAATTATGAAATTTAATTTTCCAATCATATTATGATTGTTTACGATCGGTATTTTGATCTGATTCAATTGATTTCGTCATCGGTTTGGTATGCGAAATGATATACGGGATGGTCACTTTTTAATTGAAATTTATTTTTTTTAATTGATATTTTAAATAGGTAGTTTAGCTCTTCGCAAAACGTCTGTGTAGGGTGTTTCCTAACTACGGTACGAAACTTCAGCGGGTGATTCATTGTCGTTTTACGAAAAAAAGTTCCTAGGAACGTATATGACCGAAGTTGCTTCGTTTCTGAGATACAGGGTGGTAAATAAAAAAAAATAGGTATTTTATAAATATAAAAATCCTTAAACCGAATTGGTTTAAATTTGTTACAGTTATTTGAAGTAAAAAGGCGCTTCTGTATCTGTACGCGTGGAGGGTGGGTTCCCCCACGGCACTTAGGCCTCATTAGGCCCATTGTGCATCCTCCTGAGATGATAGGCACCTCTTAGCTCGTGAGCCAGCCTACAAATTGAATGTAGTTGACAACGTCGCCAAGAGGTGCTTCTCTTATATCGGCCGGTGTTAACCGATACTCGCCGAACATAAATCTTCTAATAAATGAGAGCGTCGGGCAATTGTAAAGGATATGCTCTGAGAGTGCGGATTCTGACAGCCCCATGATATGGAGATATTGGAGATACTTGGCAATGACCAGTCAGAATGCCTGTGACTAGGCGCAGATTCTGTCTAGTCATAGTCAAGTATTTGTTTGCTGCAGTGTTGTCAGGATAACATAAGAGCTCCCTGGCAACTCTGCAGCTTCTTGTTTCATCCCATCTTTCCTTGAATTTCACAAGGGAATGTTCTTTGATTAGGTCTGTCACTACCGATTTTGTCAGGCCAATAGAAGGGCAAGGTCCAAAAAGTATTTGCTTGGCTGCTTTCTTGGCTAGTCAATCAGCAATACGGTTACCTTTCAATGTGGCGTGACCTTTAATCCATCTTAAGGTGACCATATTGTTGATGGATACTTCGGCCAAAGCTTCGTGACATTCTATTACTAACCCTGAGTAAATTCGTGGTCTGTTCAGGGTGAGTAGTGCTTGTCTGCTATCTGTATAGACAAGCATGTTCCTTCCAGTGATATTGTTTCTGACAATGTATGCTCTTTTAAATCTATTTTCTAAATTCGAGTTCCATGTTAACTTGATGTCAAAGGTAAGACCTAGGTACTTCACCTCTGTTGCAAAGTTTAGTTTTGTGTTTAGGAGTTCTGGAGGTTTTAATTCCATTTTCATCCTTTTCCTTGTGAAAAGGATCATTTATGTCTTCTTAGGATTGTTAGATAGTAAATGGTCCTTGCACCACTGTTCGATAATTTTTAGAACTACTTGGATTCGTTCGCAGAGTATGTTTCCCTGTTTGCAGAATGACCAGGTCATCTGCATATGCTATTGTATAGTGACTGTCATTATTGAGGCGGCTGATAAGGGTGTCGAGGACCATATTTCACAGTACAGGTGATAGTACCCCTCCTTGTGGAGATCCCCTCGCAACCAAGCCTCTTATATTCACATCTTCTACACTTATGTTTACTGCTCGCTTTGAGAGCAAGTTATGTATCCACCCACTAACCATTTGTGGAACATTCCTGTTGGTTAGTGAGTGTATTATCTTTGGGAAGGTGGTTTTATCAAAAGCACCTTCTATGTCTATGAAAACACCCAAGGCGGACTCGTTATTGTCCAGGGATCTTTCTATCAGGCCAGCAACTAGATGAAGTGCTGAATCAGTAGATCTGCCTGGGGTGTATGCATGTTGGTTTGGGTGTAGTGGTGTTGTTGTAATCACCGTATCCCTTATGTACCTTTCATATAGCCTTTCCAATGTCTTCATGGAAAACGATGTCAGACTTTTTGGTCGGTATATTTTTGGGACAGTGTCATCCATCCTTCCAGGTTTTGGTATAAATACCACTTTTACCTCTCTATTTTTTGGGGATATACCTCAGTGCAAACGAGTTCTTCCAGATCCCACTGACGTAGGGCTGGATAGATACCGTCAGGTCCTGGCGATTTAATTGAGAGAAGCATCTAATTTTTTCATCGTCTACAATGTGTTTGGCAATAATATTCCTTATGACATTGCATTTGTCAATTATCCCATTCCTCAAGTCATTCACATTTAGTACAGGAGTTTTATTAACAAAAGCCTTCAGATTCATATCAGGACTGCGAGCTGGCCAATTTTGAGGTCCTGCAAGCCTAATCCATCGATTAGGATAGGTGATGTCGAGATGCTGGCGAGCAAGAACACTAAAATGAGCTAGAACCTCGTCGTGCATAAACATATAGAGGTAAATATTATAGCAAAATGATCTCGCAAAAAGTCCGTATATGATTAACCTGTTATCAATAATTCCTACCCAAATGTCAGCGTAAATTATTGCTCAAAATGACTTTCTCTTATAACATGAGGATTTTCGTCGGCCCAAAAATGGTAATTGTAAAAATTCATAATAGCATCACGGGAAAAATTTGCCTCATCCGATAATAAAATCATTGGTAAAAAATTTAAATTGTGTGCCCACGTATGAATCAACCACCTGCAAAAGATTAATCTTGAATGAGAATCCCGAGGCAGAAGAGCTTGGTGATATGCGTACAAGAGATTTCTTTTTAGAATTTTCCAAACGGTTTTTCGGCTGACTTCAAGCTGCAGTGCACCACCTGTATTTTTATTAAAACTCCCAGTTTCACTTAATCTTGCATGCGGCGTTCTACGTAAATGGTTTAGCACATAGAAATACTACTCTGTTAGGATATCTGTCCTGGTAAATTATCCGCGCTTCTTCCGCATTTCCATTTGGTGATCCATAAATTAAGTGCATATCAGTCATCTCAGAATGACTAAAGTTATTCATAATGGAATCAATGACAACTCTGAATTTTAGTGATATGACAATACTATCACTGTAAACTGGTCTCCTAAGTAGGTACTTGATTGGACTTGACAATAATTTGTTATAAAAAGCAGATGTAGTAGTATGCCAAAAATGTGATAATAAAAGTCATTGAAGTTGAATGTTTATTTTCTAAATCTGAAAAAATAGTAAACCAATTGAAACTAGTGATGTTACAACCCTAAAATTATTAAATCAAATTTATAAATCTAATTACTAGCTCAAAATAAAAGTATGTACCAAGTTTATGACTAATGGATGAGATTATTTTTTGATATTAACATGTTCATGAATTAAATACAAAAGACCAAATAGTTATATTTTTAGTTGCTTAACCAAAAAAAAAAAAAAAAAAAAAAAGCTATAAAACAGTGGCGTACTTTTTTCTCAATAATATTGGCTGTGTTGTCCATTGAGACACCTCTGGACCTAATAATTTAAATCTAGTTAGGTCCAAATAAGCGTCTTATTACTTCAAATAACTGTACCAAATTTCAACCGAATTGATTTAAGAATATTTACGATCAACTTTAACGCTCTATATCTCAGAAACTAAGCAACTTCGGACAAATGTTCATAGGAACTGTTTTTCATAAATCGACCTAAAGAAACACCCTCTGAAGTTTTGTACCGTAGTTAGGAAACACTATATATTATATATAAATGACGTAGTTACTCTATTTAATGTACAGGGTGGGGCTTATAACCATCAATTCAAACTTGTAGGACATTCAAATATTCAAAAACGAATCGGCACAGATATCGTTTCATGGACAGTATGTTAAATGATATTTGTGTGCAGTTTTTAACCATTGGCGGGGCAACATAGAAATTGTTGAAACCACCCATATAATATATCTATTTGTTTGACGATTTTTTTTAATTAACGTAGATAATTTTTCTATGGCACAAAAGTTTACTTTCATTTTCAAACATGTTACGATTGTTTGGATTTATTACATAGTCCTCCAATAAATTGACCAAGCTATCTAAAATAAAATAGCTCTAGCAACTGGTAAACCTATTAATATCCCATTATTTAATAAATAAACCTTGTATTTAGGCCAACCAACGCGAAGAAGAGTACAAAAACCAAATTAAGAACTTGACCACCCGTCTAAAGGAGGTACAGATGCAGTGCTCTAACCTTGTGCTCTATTTAACCAAAGCGCCATTGTGTTTTTGTGTTATTTTTTTGTTTCTTAATAATTTTAGCATGTAACAACGACTACTTGATATGTATGCGCTGTGATCAGTGTTTCTAATGATTTATTATTATTTTATTGTTTTTTTTTTTTTTTTTTTGAACTAACATAGGCCACCCGCAAAGAGGACGAGTATTCTGTGACGTTAAAGCAGGTGGAGCACCAACTGCGAGAGGTAACTGTGATTTCTTGTAGGGTCAGATACGGAATAAGTATCGGCGGCTGGTAGCTCATTTTTTATGTGGATAGATATCATTTATTTCGTACATTATGTTTTGTTGGTATATTTTCTATAAGTTTGGAGCGCACTGGATTATTTGTACATAAATGTAGTTAAATGATAAATGCGTATAAAAATGATGAGTTAAGAAACCTATAGATCAAAATTCGAGATTGTTTGAAACGATTATTAAATAACCAGTTTATTTATATTTAAAGATAGTATTTAGTTATACAATTTTTGACAAATAAATCTTCTTTTAAAAGCAGAATCTATACTCTATTTGTTATCAGGAGATGGTAATAAAACCTAATTTTGTAGGCAAACGACAGTACAAGTGGCTCAAAGAAAAAAGCGTATAATTTGAAAGCTTTAATGCTTTTACCATATAGTAAGTTTTTTTTTTAACAAAACTTTTCTCATCTCTATAAAATTCAGGACACACTATGTAATAGAGTGCGTCGAGCACGTTGTTAATGGCTATATCTGAATACACTTCATTGTCAATCTATTATACAATGTTTTAAAAAGTATTATACACATCAAAAAATATGATACTCGATAAAATGTTCTGCATTACTTGAAAATCCATGTATAATAACAACAATATCTGAATAAACAGTGTATTGCAAAAAGTTCTATACACATGAGAAAAAGTTTTGTTTTGTCGTCTATATTTTTTAAGTATTCAATAACTTCGAAAAAAATATTTAATTCTCTTCAAGCACGTCGTGAACACTGTGTATTGAGAAGTTGTTGTTAACAATATTACACAGTGTATCTTAAAAAATTTTTATACACATGAGAAATAGTATTTTGGTTTTTAAAAACAAAAACATTGTTTAAGAAAAGTTTAAAGTAACAATTTTATAAATTGCAATAAACAAAAAAAACGCCTATGGCTTACTGCTTTAAAAAGATTTTATTACTAATTCTGATAGCGAATATAATCTAAAGGGTATTCAACTAATTTGAGACTGTTTTGGATAAGTATGAAAGGGTACAATATGTTGAAAGGTACACTAGTAAATTCTCCCAATATTTGAAGCAAGCTGGGATTTGGTTTCTGCAAAAGCCATACATGTTAAATATTGACAGTATTATTGTTTTGACAGTTATTACTACTAAAAACCAAACTGTGGTCGATTTTCACAAAACTGTTATTTTTATTTCAAAGAAAGTTGTTATTTAGTTGAGAAATTTACCTGTTCTCACAAATACTGGTAATTTCTAAATAAATATCTCTTATTTATACGAAAACAGGAAATCGCTTAAAATAAATACGTTTTACATTTTGTCTACAAATATTAGAACAATTTACTTTCGTACTTCTTAAATAAGTTTCTACGGATAATCCAAAACAAGCACAAATTGATGAAATAACCTGTAACTACCAATTTTTACGTCTATATTGTCATCCTTTATAAAAAATATTACTGGCCACACCTTTGTTATTAGATTATCGGAAAATTTGTATTAAAGAAGATACGAGTAAATGCAAAAGTTAATATATGTACCATTGAGATATAAAATTTGTCCCACCCCCCGTAACTGAAAAATCCCAACTTTTTCTTTTTGATGTCTTAAAGTTTACGATATCAGGTCCGGTTTCCAAGATATTTGAAGAAAACTAAATAGGTTGATTTTTTGGCTGTATTGTCTTTATTTTCAAAGATAGCAAAAATGGCTTTAAGGTTTTTTTTTATATAATAACTTTTTTTCTTAAATTTAATAATAAAAATGATTAAAAAACGTGCGAAGTTAGCGAAAAAATAGGTAAACCACACTTGAGCAATTTTGCTAGAGGGCATTGAGCTCACATTTTTATACGCATTTTCATTCCAATTGAATAACTTTTTAAACAAACGTAAAATACATACATTTGCTTAAAACGTTATTTTTACCCGAAAATCCTTTCACAAAACATTTGTGTACAGTAGCACTCCCTCCCCAGGGTTCAAATTGTATGGTACTTTTTTTGTATAATCTTATAGAACCAAACCCATTTTCCCTCCACTATTTGATCTCCCTGTATATTCTGGCATGTCATCAAGTTGTGTATGTTGTTTAAGGCTGCTGTTACAAGAGAACACAGCGAAGACAAAATCCGTAGCATCTCTGATAAGTTGCGTGAAGTAAGTTTGTTGGTAAAATGGTGAAAATTTGTGCCTATTTTTAATTAAAAAAAATAATACAATGTTCTAAGTATTGTTTTACTGGTGATGAAATAAAGTGAAAGGATGCAGATATTTGTTTGTTTAGGCATTATACAGGATGCATCCTAAGCTGGTACTTCTTTTTAAACTGTGTATAATAAGAGTCGTTAATCAAACATCTTTTTCAAATATTTTTTTTAAAAAAACTCCAAAATAAAAATAAAGAATTTATAAATCTAAAATCGGGCCTGAACTTGTGTACGAATAATTAATGGAATTAATAAGTCCATGTTTATCTGTTTTCTACGAATAGGAACCATGAATACGAATTTCACTTAGTTGGTCAATAGTGTATTTATTTGTTCAGTATGGCACGAGTAAATTGAAAATTAAGTGCGTTTAGAAGAATACATTTTAAATTAAGTTACCCGTGCATATCAGGTTGGGTATCAAAGAAAAGTGTACAGTACCGTCAGAGCTGTCACCTATCAGTGAGATTTAAATCATTTTTTGATTTAAATACATTTTTTGATTTAAATACTTTGATTTTAAATCTTTTTTAAAAAAAATGATTTTTGATTTATGATTTAAATCTTTTTGAAAAGTATCTTTGATTTTTTATTTAAAAATTAGATTTAAATCTTTTTAAAACGATTTAAATCTTTTTAAAACGATTTAAATCTTTTTAAAACGATTTAAATCTTTTTAAAACGATTTAAATCTTTTTAAAACTATTTAAATCTTTTTAAAACGATTTAAATCTTTTTAAAACGATTTAAATCTTTTTATTGATTTAAATCTTTCTGAAATGATTTAAATCTGTAAAATGATGCGATCTTTTTAAAATGATTTAAATTTTCTTAAAGATTTAAATCTTTTTTAAGATTTAAATCTTTTTAAAACGATTTACATCGTCAGAATCGTTATCAACCTGTCTATTTCTGAATAATAATCTAGTCAGCATGTCAGTAGGGTTGAATCAGAAATCCGAGAGAAAAGAAAAACAAAAAATAGTAAAGTGTAACAAATAATTGCAATGACTAAAGATTATTTTTAAGCATGAAATTTTACAATATCCTGAAACTCTTAACATATGTATTTTAAATTTATGCACACTTTTATTTCAGATTTGACATGAGTTGCATTAAGACGATTATGACTTTTTGACCAGTTCAATAAACACGCTTGGCATAGATAGAGCGAATTAATTAAATTTTTTATTTCTTTGCCTGATTCATCCACACATTTTTCAAAAAAAATAACCCAAACGCGCTCACTTTGGTTATTTATTTACTCGCAATAACTTCACGTTGAGAGAAGAACTCTTTTAATTCAACCCAGTCAATTTCATTATTCATAGCCGGGAGATTTTGAAAATGAAATGCATTTTTCCGGGAGAGTCTCTTAAGTACAAAAAAAAAACATATTTTTAAAGAGTCTGATGTATGTGCATCTATGTGGGGTGTTTATGTATGTATGACATTAAGCACGTTAACTTAAGGAAGAGTTGACGGATTTAAGTGATTTTTCAGAAAAAAAATCACTTTTCTTAAAAACTAGGTCTCCATTGTTTTGTGGCATCATAGGCATACCAAAAGTATCTTTTAAAGGGTTGAAAAATTCCTATTTACCAATTGACATGACATTTTTAAATAACAATTTTCATAACTATAGATATCAATGCTACATAAATCCTTAAAAATATTATCTTGATTATTTAAAATTAATATTTCCGTAAGAATTGCATTGGGCTAATAACGATAAAAAAATAAATACGAGAAAAGTTAATCGAGTTTTGCGTTTTATTTATGAGAAAATCACATTACTTAAGTATTCATTATCTTTGGCCTACCGAAAGCATTTTTTAAAGAGTCACCCAAATCTATAAAAAGATTTAAATCTTTTGAAAATATTTATTTCGTTTAAAAGGATTTAGATATTTCGAAAAGATTTAAATCTTTCGAAAAGATTTAAATCTTTCCTAAAATGATTTAAATCTTTTGAAAAGATTTAAATCTTTCAAAAAGATTTAAATCTTTCCTAAAATGATTTAAATTGTAAAAAAGATTTTTGATTTAAATCTTTCTTTTTAAAAAATCGATCTTTGATTTAAATCATTTTTTCAAATGTAAATGATTTATGATCTTTGATTTAAATCGTTTTTAAAATGATCTTAAACAGCTCTGAGTACCGTATTGGATATATTTTGGAATTAATTATAGTTTTTAATTTTAAAAATTTTAAAAGTTACTTGAAAAAGTAGTTTATTTTAATGACTTCTGTACACAGTAAATAAAGAATATCAACTTAGGATTCACCTTGTGTATATATTGAACTATTTAAACTGTCCTATTACTGTAGACTTGAGTTCTCATAAGCGGAAATTAACTATAAACATTCTATAATAAAAAAAGCAGAATAATCAAAAGACCTGTCAAATGATGTATCACATGAACCTGCATTTCGTTTATTTCTTTATACCTTAAATTCGATACATTATGGAAAATACATGAGCAAAATGTCAAAATCCTATACAAACTGTTTCGTGATTTATGAGTCAAGAAATAAATTTACAAAATTGATAAAACACCCAGTATTTCTGTTATAAAGGGCGAAAGACCCAGTAAATATAGGTTATTTAGAAGCACCTCGGTGGCATTCATATACAGTTAACGTGTGCCCCTTTCTCAATGAAACACGCTGTATAAGAAATTTATTTTGTAATAATAATATTAAAAAGTCGGTAATTGCTAGTAAGCAGTATAAAAATATTACTGTTTCCTTTATAACAATGAATCCACCTACATATTTGATGCAGTAGCAAATATTAAATCAGTTTTCTAATTTTTCTCTTTTACAAAATCTGGTAATTCATTACAATGTGGTCTCTTTTTTGCAAAAATAATTGCTACTATCAACATTTTTTAAAATAAATATAGGCACAAATTTTTAATTTAACTTTTTCAGAATATGTTTCTAAATAGACACCACTATTTTTTTTTGTTTTTATACCTGTTCAAAAATCTTTTTGTTATTAATTGAATACTTTTGTATCTATGTTAATATGGTGTTAATTTTTTAGAAACTATAAAATTAATACAATGAATAATACTATTAATATACATTTTTGAAATTCCATACTTAATCTTTTCGTGTCTTTTAGAAATATATTTATCATATATTGTTTTTTTTACGGAGAATGAAGTTAAATCATTTATCGGTGTACATGAGTCAAGCTTACTAGAATCGAAATGATTTTGGTAAAATTTATGAATGGTGTAGCCTTTCTGATATATTTTGCATAATTTATAAAGATCAAATATAATTTGGGCTTAAAACATTTCCATTCTATTGTGCTTGATCTGGGTATAAATTCACGATTACCATCATCATGCATCAGTACCCTGTATTATAGTCATTCACTCTTTAGTCAAACGCTTTTCATGGGTGCTTTTTTTTTTTAGAAGTATAGATCACTATAAATTTTGTAAGTATTGGGTGTGCTGTTTTTTCTATGCGTTTGTCACTTTGTAGAGCTGTTTGCATGCTTTTTAATGCTTTTAAATAAATTTGCTGTCATTTTTTTTACAACTATGAGAAGATAATTTTGAAAATATTTTCGTATTCAACATTTAAAAACGCGAATATGGATAATTGAATAAGTGGTTAAATACTTTTTAACAACATATTTGGAACTTCATGCGATTATCAATAATCCACTACTACTTACTCAATAATAGTCCAAAATAACAAAAAAAAGTTGCACAAATTTAGCGATTATGAGCAATCACAACAAATACGATAACTCCATAAATGCATTATCCATTCATTTATTTATTCATTTATTTTAATTCACTAGAATTTGTGCAATTTATTTATTTTTAGCAATGGCAGCTCGTAACCAAAATATTGAGGTTCACAATGATAAAATATAGATCTTAGTACAGATTTAGGTAAAAACCTTTCAGTGTTTGTAATATACCTTTCTAAAACACTGAAAATGTTTTACCTAAATCTGTACCGAGATCTAGATTATGTCATTGTGAAACCCCAATATCTCAAGCCGCCACCGATTTTTTTGTCAATATGGACTTATCGCAAAAATTGTAAGTTTTTATTTTCTCTCTATTCTTGCCAATTTGAGGTATTGTATAAAAAAGTTTTCGAAATTATTTTCTTTGGTGTTTTCTATTTCTTGTTTTTTTTTTTAAAATATTGTTGTCACTATTAAATAAAATTTTGTTCTAATTTTTAAACAAATACTGAGGTAATGAAATAAATTTAAAAATGGTGACAGCAATATTTAACGATTTTATTTTAATTGTTTTGGATAGATTTATACAATAAATTTTTAATTCTTATTCTAAATTTAAATATTACATTTTTTATTCGTCAAAACAAATAAAAATTAACGTTTATTAATTACTATTACCAAATTATAAGGAAGACCTTCCTCATATATATGTTGTCTTTTTCCTAACAAAAAGAATTTAATTAAAAATAAATCTATCCAATTATGAAATTTTGTAGTAACCGAGTTCATTCACTTGATTCTTTTTTAATTACAAATTTATTTGCAAATGTTATGGTTATTACAAAATGTTCATATCATAAATGTTTTTGTTTTGATTTGTCATCGTGATTTCTATTCACGAATTTTTGATAAATCGATCAGATTTTTATAAACAATTTGTTTCTTTTTTTACCTAGGCTGAAGCCAGAGCCGAATTCGCAGAACGTTCTGTACAGAAACTACAGAAGGAGGTCGACAGACTAGAAGGTATGAAATGGCTTCTAGTTATTGTATTTTTTTTTTTTCGTTTGTTTTCAATTAGATTCACAATTTAGTTTCACTAAAAAGCAGCTAATTAATACGATTTTATTTTATTTTTTTTTTTTATTTTTATAATACTGCGTCATGTCTATTCCACCAATGAAAATATAGCGCCAACAAATTTGTTATAAATTAAGTAAACAGTATCCGCTCGAGAGACCAAAAAATAAATATTTAATTAAATAGAACAAAATTGCCACGACCTGGAAAAGCCATTAAACCGAAAATATTTAAAATTATGATACAATGAGCAATTGTTTATACATTTTTACCCAAAACTAAAAATGTTCACCCAACGTGGCAACACTGTGCAACACTACTTTATAGGTACTTTTATCCTCTACAATAATATGACCTAATTTGTTTTAGATTACGACAGTTCGTTTTTTGGATCATCATTAACCTTTTTTTTTTTTTCAAAACGGACCTGATGTTTTTATATACCGATTTCAATATTAAAAAATATATACCAGCATTCACAAATTGTAACAATTTAATTTTATCTTATATGACTTTCATGATTTCTTTGACGGTGTTGTCAGACTTACTGACTTTGAATATATATTTAATGAACAAAAAATTAATAGGACCTTGTACTGAAATATATTACAAAAACTGTTACCCGTTAGTGTATAGGATGGAGACATAATGGTCTTGGAAAAGTAAAAAAGTATTAGTTTTTATCAAAAATAAATCTAACTTAATTTTACAAGAACAATGGCGTTTATTTCAAGTCGATAGAAAGCTTTAAAAGTCTGGCGTCATCTTATACCGCCCGGGATGCCGTCCCAGTTAGACGCTACGTCATCAGCGCCTATTGTTTAGGAGAGTGGCCTGCCGGTTCTACTGGTATTAAAATATTCCTTAGATTTTTGGACACGTTTAGGACAACTTTCTATATAAGAAGCTACAGGAGCGGTATTTCTATTGCATTTTATGAGTGCGCTAGTGCACACAATATCTCGAAACTTATCTTCGTTAGAATATCTTCTATTCATAAAAACAATAATTTAAAGCAATAACACAACAACGGAAATCATGAACCTTTTAATGATTTTAGGTACTTTTTGTTAAATTCTTTTGTTTTAATTTCGCTTATTTTTATTTTAAACTGTTGATGATTTTTAGGCTCGAAACGTCGTAAAGGCACATAGTTGTAAAAAATATATTTTTTTCCATTGAAATCTATAAAAAAACAGTTCCGTATTTAAAAAAAGATTGATGATGTGCTCAAAAACAAATGATGTCATATTGTAGAGGACAAGTACTTTTGATTATATGATATCTTCATAGACATTTCTCAAAATAACTCAAAAATTAACAAATATTTAAAAAATGTTAAATTTGATCTAAACTAAAAATATGTTTCAAAAAACTTTTATAAACTCCTGGACAAAATTAACGCACCACTTTAATTAATCTAAATATTTACAATATAAACACAACATAAAACTAAGTTACATTGAAATATTGATGAATACCTAAAAATTATTCGAATATGACCTTTACATAACCTTAATTTGCCTTACTTTTTACATAAAAATTTGTTTTTGCTGGAAATGCATAAATAAGCTAGCATAACTCAAAATTGAAAAAAGAAAAAAAAATCATTAAAAGAGAATAAATGCATCTGGGTCAACCCTAATACCGCGTAGGCCCTCCTCTACTTCTTATCACTGCATTCGTGCATCGCGGCATGCTTGATATCAAATGTTCAACAAAAGCTTGCGGTATATTCTCCCATTCTTCAATAGCGACCTCTATGAGTTGGTTGTGACTTCGAATCCTCTTTTTGAGATAGTCCCATAGATGTTCTATAGGATTCATATCCGGACTGTTAGGTGGCCACTCTAATAAAGGAATATTAACATCATGTAAGTAACCAATAACCTGTCTAGCCACGTGGGGACGAGCGTTGTCCTGCATGAATAAAAAATTGGGCCCAACAAACGGAGCAAAAGGCATTACATGTTCGACAATAATGTTGTCTAAGTAATATTGGGCATTCATAGACCTCGTACGTATAGGGACTAACTCCGTACGAGCATCGAAGCAAATTCTTCCCCAAAACATTTTAGAGCCACCACCAAGTCACTTTAGGAGAGATATTACAGCTGGCAAAACTAACTTTCTCCTTGTCTTTTTCAGACACGCTCACGTCCATCTGGAGCTTTAAGGCTAACTCTAGTTTCATCGGAAAACAGAACCCAATTCTGATGTAGTCTTGTAAAATTTAATCTCTGAACTTTGTGCATAAACAAGGGTTTTTTGGCTGGTCTTCTGTTGCTTAAACCTGCTTCATGTAAACGTCTTCTAACCGTTCGAGGCGATATTTCGAACATCTGCTAATTCATTTTTAAGCAGATTGCTGGTTTCTCTCCTGTCTCTAAGAGCACGTCTCAAAAAACGATCATCAATTTGATAAGTGCAACGTTTTCGCCCTTGTCCTGGTCTTCGATGGTACGAACCCGTTTCATTATGTCGCCTCACTATGCGACTGATGCTGGAATGATGTCTTCCTAACAAACCAGGAACATATCGCATTGAACATCCTTCATTCAGGAGAGTCGATGCTCGCACTGCCTCCTCCAGTGACAGATTTCTTTGACGGTTCATTTTTTTTACTTGATATTCCCCAAATGTTCTTCCAAACATGCATGTAATAATAACAATTACAATCAACAGCTTGCTTCTAACAGAAACTTTGCTTTAATCAGCACTTTTTAAGAAAATGTTAACACAATTTTAGTCTAAAACGAGGTTTAATACGAATTACTCTCAAAACAAGGTATTACGTGACACTAGCTAGCTTAAAAAACAACTGTCACTGGCAAACAAGGTCCATGGCCAACTTGTACAGTAAGTTATCAATAAATAAAGATTATCGAGCAAAATATAAGTGGTGCGTTAATTTTGTCCAGGAGTTTAGTTAGCGAGATTAGAAAGATAGAGCTAAAATTTGGGAAACACTGTATTTATCAGGATGTGGACCCAGTACTAATCGATCCCTGAAGTACTTTTAAAATTTTTTTTTTAAAGCAAGCCAATTAGTTTTTATTGGTTGGAATAGATTTGACGAGCCGTTTTTTGTGTTTTTCATTTTGTGCATAATAACCCTATCCTTGCAGACGACCTATTACTGGAAAAAGAAAAGAACAAAATGCTCGCTGACGAGATGGAGGCCACTTTGCATGATATCCAAAATATGTAAAAAAGCGAATGATAAAAAAATCACACACAACACACAAACAAAAAAATATCACCGAAAGAAAAAGACAATTAAGGGCCGGCCTTTCGACTAAAACACATTCCCGTCTTGTTTTTTGCATTCCATATTCTTTTAAATAGGAAAAACGGATTGGAAATCACTTTCTTTAAGTTTAAAAAGAGAAACCACACACGATGGTTGAGATATATATTTTTTTTATATTCCTTTGCGCGATATGTTTAGAGTATATTTTATAAGTCAATTTCTGGTCAGTTTAATCGTAATAATTTGGAAAGGACCAACAATATTAAGACAATACAATTCCTATTTTTTTAGTAAAATATATACAGTCTGTAATAATTAATGAGAATATTTCTATAAAACTTTGTAAATACAATTCAAACTTATCATAGTTCCCTTAGAAAGATACTGAGTGTTGTCCACTTTATCAAAAACCTCACTCGATTTCTGTCGCATTTTCACCTAGCTGTAATAAAACTAGGACAAAGTCAATTCCCGCACTATTGCCATTTAGCGGCTACAGATTCATTCTCATTAGTTTTCAAAACAGGCTAGTATTTACTTAGCGACAAACAACATTTTGATATTGACACGCGTCAAAATCAATTTGCCGTTTCCTAGTATGTCACGATTCACGATTAGTAGTTGCCAGTTCGTGTATACAGATTCATTCATTAGTTTTATTTTGAAACAGGCTAGTATTTAGTTTGGCGATAAACAATTAATATTTTGACATTGACATACGTCAAAATCAATTTGATGTTTCCTAATATGTCAAATCAGTTTACGAGTAGTAGTTGCCTTGTTTCGTGTTCGCGTTAAACCAGAAATTGACTCGATTTGTGAAAGATGCAAAAAAATTGATTGGTGCTTATATGTCCCGTATTAGCTTTGTTTTTTCTTGCAAGTTTAAAAATAATGAACGAGGCGTTGATCTCTTAAGAACTGCAATAATACTATTTTATATGTAAGATCAACACTGCCATAGGCCGAGAAATACTTCGTTTTGAATAAATATTTATCGGTTCAATTTTGTATATTGTACATTTTATACATTAAATATTTAAATTTAGCAAATTCCCTTGTTTTGTGTAACCACGCCAACCTGTCCATAAAGGAACCAGATGTTTTGATATCAATTTTGTTATGAGTGGTTTTAAATAATAGAATTCTTCTACCGTTTATAAGTGATCAGTTTATTGATTGTATTAAGACTGTTTACAAACCACTTATAAATTTATAAGTGGCTACTTATTTACTATTTGCAAGTGATCATTTATAAATGTATAGGAGGCTGCTTTTTTCCTTCTATTTACAAGTGATCACTTACAAATGTATAAGTGGCTGCTTATTTACTATATACAAGTGATCAATTATAAATTTATGTGGTTGTTCATTTACTATTTGCGAGTGATCATTTATGTGGCTGCTTAGGTCAGTTTATGAATATTTAATAATAATAATTGATCCGTTATAAATTGGTTAGCGATGCTAATTATCTAGCAACACTGATATTTTTTTACGATTTGTATGTATAGTATTGTTTAATTTTAGTATTTATGCATAAGCTTTTCGCAAATCTAAGAAGAGGGTTTTTTGGTGACAGTAATTTATTTATTTCGTTTTTTGTTTGGTTCCTTTATTCACAAGTGTTTTTCGACAGTTTTTTTTTCATTAATTATATAATTAAATTATGAAGTCTAGCCTAAAGCCTGTT